CTGTCTCCTTATCTCTTGCTGCTTCTAGGATTCTCTCCTTCATTTTTACCTTGGCTAATGTAATTATGATGTGCCTTGATGTGTTCCTCCTTGGGTCCAACTTCTTTGGGACTCTCTGAGCTTCCTAGAGTTCCTGGAAATCTATTTCCTTGGCCAGATTGGGGAAGTTCTCCTTTATTATTTGTTCAAGTAAGTTTTCAATTTGTTGCTCTTCCTCTTCTCCTTCTGACATCCCTCTGATTCGTATGTGGGAACATTTAAAGATGCCTGGGAGCTTCCTAAGCCTCTCCTCATTTTTTTGAATTCTTATTTCTTCATTCTTTTCTGTTTTGGTTGTTTCTTTCTTCCTCTTGGTCCACTCCATTGATTTCAGTCCCAGTTTTCTTCCCATCACTATTGATTCCCTGTGCATTTTTCTTCATTTCACTAATTGTAACCTTCATTTTTTCATCTAATTTGTGACCAAATTCAACCAATTGTGTGAGCATCCTGATTACCAGTGCTTTCAACTGTGCATCTGATAGGTTGATATCTCTTGGTCACTTAGTTGTGTTTGCTGTGGCGCTTTGATTTGTTCTTCCATTTGGGCCTTTTTTTTTTTTTTGTCTTGTTGTGCCTGTTATGTATGAGGGGCGAAGCCTTAAGCGTTCACCAGGGCAGGGCAATCCAGTCACTGGGTTGTGATGTTGTATGTGGGGGCGGGGTCTGAGAGGGAACACTGGTGCTTTCTCTGCTCTCTGCCAGATTTCAGTCCCTTATGCCACTTCCCCCAAGCAAACTGGGCCTTTCTGGTGCTAATTCCCACTTGGGTGGGCTTGTGCACATTCTAGTACCCCGTGGGTTTCTCCAATGAACTCTCCTGGCACCTCAACCCCCACAGGTGTTTTTAATCTGTGCCCTAAGGCTCTAGTTCCTGGCGCTGGGACCCTGGGTTGTGAGGGTGTCTTGCTCCCCAATTTCACCTGGTTTATCTGCACGCAAATGTGGGACTGCCCTGTCAGCCTTGTGCATAGTGCCTTGCTTCACAATCGCTGCCTCACTGGGTCTGCAGGTTGCCACCCCGAGCCTGGGGTCTGCCAGCCACTGCTTGCATGCCCCTGGTCCGCCTGCTGCGGTCTTGCGTGCCTGGGATGCCTTATGCACCTGGTGCCACAGCTTTTTGTGCCGTGACCCCTCTCTGCCTGGCTGCCTGACTCTGCCCTTCCTACCGGTCTGGATGAATGTGTCTTTTTTAACTCCTTGGTTGTCTAACTTCCATACAGTTCAGTTTTCTTTCAGTTCTGGTTGTTATTTTGTTTCTGAATTGTTGTTCTCCTTATTTTGGCCATGGGAGGAGGCACAGTGTTTCTACCTACACCTCCATCTTGGCCAGAAGTCTTGATATGTCATTTTTATATGTCTGTTAGATAAAGCTTATTAATTGCCTTATTCAAACCTTTATTTCTAATTTTCTTAGTTTCCCTGTAATGATGGATTTGTCCATTTGTTTCTTATAGTTATTTTCACTTATATATTTTGAAGTTAGGTTATTAGGTTACATTAAGTTCATGATGGTTACATCATAGAGATGTTTTTAAACTTTTGTCATTATGTAGTGACTCAATACTTGTTAAAGGAAAACTCACTGAAGTCCAATTAGTATGATATTAACATAGGTATCTAACTTAATTTTTGCTTGTATTTACCTGTATTATCTTTTTGCATCTTTATGCTTTTATCCTTTCTGTGTTCTTAAATTTTGTGTCTTTTACAGTAGCATATCTGTTGAAGGCCATTAGCTTTTAACTGGAGAATTGGGTCCATTTATTGTGACTATTGAATATATTTGGATTATATCAACCATCTTAATTATTACTTTCTACATGTTCTAATTTCCTGTTTCTTTTTTGTCCTTATTGCCTTTTCTTTTTTAAATTAGAGATAATCTTTAATATCAATAATTATATCAAATATAAATAGTATAGGTACACTAATTAATAGACTGGAATTGAAAGAATACTTTTATTTTTATTTTTCCCATATGGTACTTTTTATTTTTATTTTTTAAATTTATTACTGTTCAGCCCTGGCTGGCATAGCTCAGTGGATTGAGTGCGGGCTGCGAACCAAAGCATTGCAGGTTCGATTCCCAGTCAGGGCACATGCCTGGGTTGCAGGCCACAGCCCTCAGCAACTGCACATTGATGTTTCTCTCTCTCTCTCTTTCTCCCTCCCTTCCCTCTCTAAAAAATAAATTAATTAAATTTTAAAAAATTATTATTTTTCAGTTAAGTTGTCTCACTTTTTTCCCCATCTCGCACCCCTACCCTAGCACTCCCCCACTCCCACAGCCAATTATTGCTTTCTGTTTGACTAATTGCATTTTATATATTCATTCCATTTTCTCTGTTTAGAAACTATATAAATTATTTCTCTCTTTAGTTATCTGCATATTTTAACATGCATACTTAACATCTAATGTTAATCTATATTTTTAATATCTTCCTGACACTGTAGGTACATTAGAATGGTTTTTAAAACTCTCAGATTCCTCTTCTACTTTATATGCTGTTGTTGCCTTGATTTTTGGTTTGTTTTCAACACCACAGCCTTTCTACTTCCAGTTTCCTTTGTTGCCTTTTGCTCTTGTGCCAGACTTCTTCCTGAGTCCTCACCTTTTCCTTCCACTCTTCCCTTGGGAAGTGAATGTGATCTGCTCAACTCATAATGCATATGTATCATTCCCTGGCTCTTGAGTATCAGGCTGCAGTTTTTAACACTAGATCTATATATCCTACAATCTACTTGAGATCTTTATCCTTTCTCATAGACATTTTAAAATTAATAATAATTCAGTTTCAGGGTCCTTTCATCAGCCGTTTCCTCTCAAATCTCAGATCTGTTCTTTTGCATTTGGGCATTTGAAACTTACCAATAGATCAGTTGTGGACACTTTCATTACCCTCTTCCTTGCCCATACTTCAGATGTATTATTTTCCATTTGGGCATTGCAAACTTATCAATAGTTCAGTTTTGGAGACCTTTCATTACCAGCACCCCCCCATACCTCACATCTGTTCTTTTCCATTTACTCTCCTAATAAATTACATTTCTTCTTCCAACACTCATTTCAGAAACCTGGTTCATTTTATGACCTCATCATTTTTTGACATACTGGGCCTTCCCTTCGCCATCACCACATCCAAATCAACCACAAAGTTTAGTCAGTTTTACATTTAAGGAGATCTTAAATTTGTTCCTTTATTTACACTCCATTGTCAAATACTCTAGTCCAAGCTCTAATACATCTTACCTAGACCACTGCAAATTCAGTATACTTCTAAAGTAGTAGTAGAATCCCTGTTACTTAGAATCATGCTACTGCAAACTGGATGCACCATTGACATGTTCATTGGTTTCCCTACTTCCAATTATATCCCTCGTCTTCTCTCCACATGGTGGGTATTACAATTTTTTGGAAAATGGTAGATCTGATCATGTAAACTCATTAACTAAAAGCCTATAGTGCATCTAGATTCCTCTTATAATGATGACCATATTCCATAAAGTGTTCTACAAGTCCCTATATAATCTCATGTCTACTTCCCGTCCTTGTCACTGCCCCATTCCTTACTTCACTACAGCCATACCAGCCTTCTTTGATCACAAAAACTGAAGGAACAATCTCTCCTATTTTAGGACCACCACAAATACTCTTTCTACCCAGAATGTTTAGAAGCACCTCTTTTTCTTCCCCCCTTCCCAAATACACACACACATACCCTATTCATACCTATTATTTTCCGCATCCTTCAAATCTCAACTGAAATGCCACTTTCTTATGGAATAATGTTCTTAGGTTCTTTCCTTGTCATTTCTAAGGTGTCATCTCAATTATACCCTCTCAATGTGTCCTGTACTTTTCTATCATAAAAGAAATGATAGGGTGTATATGAATGTGTAAATGTGTGTATGTGTGTATTTGTTTAATATCTGCCTCCCCATCAGGTGGTAATTTTTAGAATGTCAGAGACTAGGCCTATTTTTGTCACCATTCTGTCCTACTATCAAGTGCATTGCTTGGCACATGGACACTCATATATGTTACATGAATGAATGAGTGATTATATGCTAGACAAGACTGGAGGGGGAGCTAGTGATGTACTTCAACTATAGGAAGAGCAGAAACTTTCATTTAGGTAATCACTAAGTGTTTGAAGAAATAAAAGAAGAAAGAAGAAAAAGGAAAAGAATGGGAAAATGGAAAATGAGAAAGGAGAGGAAAGGAAATTGGAAAGGGAGCAGAAAAGGTAAACCTAAATCTAAAATTATAGTCCTTGACAACAAAAGTTGTATCAACCTCCCTATCTCTCACTTAAAAAAAAAAAACTTGAATAATGGCTAGAAAATTTTGAATAAAAAATATGTATGAAACCTTTTGGCAGGGATAGGTATTTTGCTAGATTGGTTGTTGATTGGTTGTTTACTTGAGAGAATAAAGAATACCAGATGAGGTTACTCCCAAAATGCCTCCTTGAGCATGCATTTTTAAATCAAAACCTAACTTTTTCAAAGTCTCATAAAGTGAAGGTACATTTTTATGTTTCCTTACTTAAATTTATGGATAGTTACTTAGTATTGCCCTCATCACAAAGAAGATTTTCCTTTTCATACTATTAAATGGAATATATATAAAAGTATTTTATGATGCTTTGGCTGGTGTGACTCATGGATTGAGCACTGGCTTGTGAACCAAGAGGTTGCCAGTTTGATTCCCAGTCAGGGCACACGCTCGGGTTGTGGGTTAGGTCCTCAGTTGAGAGTGTGCAAAAGTCAACCGATCGATGTATCTATTGTACATTGCTGTTTCTTCTCCCTCTCTTTCTCCCCCCCCGCCTCTCTCTAAAAGTAAATAAATAAAATCTTTTAAAAAAGTATTTCATTAATTATAAATGTATGCACATAATTATTATTGATTAGGTATAATTAATCATTACCTACTATTTTCCCCCAAATTATAGAAAAATATGTCGTAACTGCAAGTGTGGCCAAGAAGAGCATGATGTCTTGTTGAGCAATGAAGAGGATCGAAAAGTTGGGAAACTTTTTGAAGACACCAAGTATACCACCCTGATTGCAAAGCTAAAATCAGATGGAATTCCCATGTATAAACGCAATGTTATGATATTGACCAATCCAGTTGCTGCCAAGAAGAATGTCTCCATCAATACAGTTACCTATGAATGGGCTCCCCCTGTCCAGAATCAGGCATTGGTAAATAATAAGTGGGAGAGGAGCCCCTTTATCAAAGTTACTGAATTCCTTCTTTAGGGCAGTTCCTTTAGTTACCTAATCAACCTCAAGTCAATTATTTTTCTGGGATTTATATTACTTTGACTTTCAACTTCTATTACAGTTATCTTGAAAGTGAGATTAGATACCTCATAGAATTTTTCTATCAAATGTATTAACCTTTTGAGGCAATGGCCTAAAATTCTTAATATTAGATGTAAAACAGATGTTTTCTACAAATCTAGTAACTCTTCTAGCTTACACGTGAGAATTTATCTTAAGATGATAATATCTAGATGTTAAAATTTCTGTCATTATTTAGAACTCCATGTTCAACACTATACTTATTTTACTGTGTAAGGCTAAAAAAAAGGACTACTTAGTGTGTGACACTCTTGCTTTAACTAGATGAGGCATGTGGAAATCTTTTAAGAAGGTCAGTTAAATCATCAGAGTGAATCTTGTGATTTTTTTTTAATAATGAAAATACTGTTCATCCATAGGCCATTCTAAACATGCTACCTATGTGTGTTCTCCTACAGTTGTACGTTGTATATTTAGCACAAGTAAACATTAGTAACCTGATTCTTTTCATAAATTGAAGAGAAAATCATTAATTTCATGGAGAAATATGTTTATTGTTATTGAACTAAATCTATTTGTTGTACCATTTTTTAATATGTTAATATCTTGGGATGTTTACATGATGAAGATAATTTGTTGGTAATAGATAAAGCCAACTTCTTTGTTAAGTCACTTGCTTCTGATGTGTGCTGTAAGATAGTATTGCCTTTCTGATGGACAAGGCATCTCTCAGTTAACACTGGTTTCCTTGTGGTTCAGGCCAGGCAGTACATGCAGATGCTGCCCAAGGAGAAGCAGCCAGTGGCAGGTTCAGAGGGGGCACAGTACCGGAAGAAGCAGCTGGCCAAACAGCTCCCTGCCCACGACCAGGACCCTTCAAAGTGCCATGAGTTGTCTCCCAAAGAAGTGAAGGAGATGGAGCAGTTTGTAAAGAAATACAAGAGTGAGGCTCTGGGTGTAGGAGATGTCAAACTTCCCCATGAGATGGATGCTCAAGCCTCCAACAGAATGTACATCCCTGGTGGAGACAGAAGCACCACGGCAGCGGTGGGCACCATGGAGGACAAATCAGCTGAACACAAAAGATCTCAGTATGTGAGTACAGTGGTCACACCGTTGGCCCAGTTGGTGTATTTTATGTATACTTTCTCTTTCTTTGAACCTTTCTGAAGGCCATTTCTCTGTTTCCAAAAGGAAGTAAGTGAGGGAAATAAGTAGAATTAAAATTCAGTTTATACTGATTTTAGAGAATCATGTTTGAAATATCTTCCTGAAGCCAAGTTTTCATATTACTTGTTGACAAGAATAATTGTTTTTTTGTTTTGTTTTATTTTATTTCATTTATTTACTTTTAGAGAGAGAAGGGAGGGAGATAGAGAGAGAGAGAGAAACATCAATGTGTGGTTGCTGGAGATTACGGCCTGCAACCCAGGAATGTACCCTGGCTGGGAATCGAACCTGTGACACTTAGGTTCGCAGCCCGCGCTCAATCCACTGAGCTACGCCAGCCAGGCTAATTGTGAGGTTTAATTAAACATAGTAGTTAGCATTGGTGTCATTCTAGAATACAGCATACTAATCTATAATCTGTTTCTAAATATCATTTAGGTGTTGTTTACCTCTTCCCATAAATAAGAATAATATATGGTTAGGCTAATTCAGTTTTGCTTATGACATTATACCTAAAATTCAAACTTAAATTTATGTAGATATATGTTCAATCATATTTTTTAAAATCTCTCCTAGAGAGGGAAATTGAAGTCTTTTTTTAATGGGTTAAAGAAAGTTGTGACACCAGTGAGCAAAAAATGAGAACTAAACTTAATGTAATACATCTCCCATAAATTCTATTAGCACATCAACCCACAAGACTTAGTTTTGTAAAAATATTATTTTCAAAAAGTACTAATAAGCTGTTTTAGGGACCACTTAAAATTTAGGTAAAAATTACTATTAGCCATTTTCCATAAGAAACTTGAATTTGAAAACCAATACTCTGTTACACACAGGCTGCAACAGTGAGGTGTGAAAGGGCTGCAGAAAGCCAAGAGATTCTGTTTCACAGAAATACAAACACCTTATTGTCTGTATGGACAAACTATTAATTTCAGTAGAAATTATTTCTCTTGAAAGTTGTTTCTCTGAATTTTTACTAAAGCTACTGATGAAAAATGCCAGTCTTACGATGACTAGATTGTTTTGGATGGATTTCTTTCAGTCCTGCTACTGCTGCAAACTGAGTATGAAGGAAGGTGACCCAGCCATCTATGCTGAAAGGGCCGGCTATGATAAATTGTGGCACCCAGCTTGTTTTGTCTGCAGTACCTGCCACGAGCTCCTGGTCGACATGATTTATTTCTGGAAGAATGGGAAGCTATACTGTGGCAGACATTACTGTGACAGTGAAAAACCGAGATGTGCTGGCTGTGATGAGGTATGTTCTCTAAGGCCACCTACATGCAGGCTCATTGTTGTACCCCCACATGGTCCTCTTACCACCCTAAGGCAGCTCTTAGTGATGAGGCAACATGGATTAGCCAAACATCATTTGCTTTATTTATATTCAAAAGAGTTAAATGAAAAGAAACTTTCAATTTCAGTCATTCTGAGTACTGTGTTAATTGTGTTGACTAAGGAAAGAGTGTCCAGAAACATAAAAGACTGATTTAGACTAAACTAAATAATAACCTTAGTTCAAGCTTTCAGTTATTTTCAGACATGAATGTAAGTTGATATATTTGTGGATCTAATTCCTTCATTATATAAAGAACCTAGCTTTACTATATGGAGAAAAAAAATACATGATCCAACTTATTTTATCTTCTTTCCAGCTGATATTCAGCAATGAGTATACCCAGGCAGAAAACCAAAATTGGCATCTGAAACACTTCTGCTGCTTTGACTGTGACAACATCCTAGCTGGGGAAATATATGTGATGGTCAATGACAAGCCTGTGTGCAAGCCCTGCTATGTGAAGAATCATGCTGTGGTAAGAAGTAGTCTAAGGATACAGTTGCCTGAACTTGCTTTATGATTTGACTTTGTGCCATTAAACCTCCTACAAGTGAGAAATAGAAAGTACTACTCTCATGTAGGAAACATGTGATTCCTACCATAAGGTGTCAAAATCCACATAATATAAATGCAATATATTTGTTGACTGTGAGCTACCTCAAGATTTCTACCTGTGCAGTTTATACCATAGATTATAAATGCTACTCGATTATAAAATCCCTATTTTCAAAAAAGTTCCTTAATGAGAATGAGATTAATTGATTGATTCTCATATCATACAGATCAAATTCCATTTAAATTAAGGTTTCTAGATGCTGTTCATATTCTTTGGCTGTATTTTATGATTTCTGTTCATGTCGCTAGACCATTACTAGGACTTTGTTTTTGCTATTTGAAGTGATTTATTTGCATGAGCCAAATACTCAAGTATTTAATGCAAGAGTACATTTTTTTCTTAGATCTACCCTACTTATACAAAGCTACTATTGCATGATGGCCAAGAGATCATTTAGATAATTCAGTAAATTTAAAAAGTTGACTACATATGATAAATCTTATAAGCCAGGGAATATTAAAAACTCAGACATTGACTTCTTTGAATGCAGGAAATACCTACTAGTTAAAGATTTCCCTGAGCTATCAAGTAGAGGATACTCTAGTTAAGAAATAAAATGACATATTTATATAGTTCTCGGTATGATACTATGAAAATAAGGTAACAAGTTTTGGTGTCAGTGCCAATTTTCAACCCTTACCCATTGTTCCAAGCTATAAATAGTTTTTGGTTTTTTTAAAATCAACTCTGCCTCATCAATATATCTCAGGTCCTCACATTTACAGCTACTCTACTTCAGATCTTTATTTTTTGTTATTTGGGTGATTGCAGTGGCCTCAAATGTGGTCTTCCCCATCCATTCTTGGCCTTGTTCAAAGCTGCCTTCCATAATAATGGAAGATAATCTTTTAAAAATGCAAATCTGATCCTTAAGCTCTTGGTTAATGATACACCAGTCTTTTCTTGCCTATCAATTTTTTTACTTACTAAGTAACTAACTAACTTCCTTATTTATTTATTTATAATCCTTACCTGAAGACGTGTTTGTTGATTTTAGAGAGATGGGAAAGGAAGGAGAGAGAGAGAAAAAAAGAAACATCGATGTGAGAGAGAAATGTTGATGTTTCCCCTCATATGCACCTAGGAATGGGGACTGAAACTGCAACCTAGGCATGTGCCCTGACTGTGGATCAAACCTGCAACCCTTTGGTCTATGGGATGACGCTCCATCCAACTGAGCCACATCAGCTGGGGCTCTTCTTGCCTATCTAGCTGCTTCAACTATTAATCCAACCCAAATCATACATTTCTGTAACTTACCAGTATTTTCTAGTTTATACACTGTTCTTTTTCTTGCTCACATTTATTCCTTTGTCTGATTCACCCTCCTATTCCTGTTTTACCTGACTATGCCTACATATTTTTCCAGACTTGATTTAGGCTTAACATTTTTCAGAAAATTTTTCCTGATCCCCTGCCCCAAGCTCCACTCTTCTCTCCAGCTAGGGCTGGATATCTCGCTGTTCCTATGAGTCTTTGCGTGTGTGCTTGCCCAGATGTGTGCAATTGTTAATATCACTCATCTGTCTCCACTAGACTGTAAGCAGCTGGAGGATAGAGCTTGCCTTTTTATTGTTAGGAAACATTTGAGTGACTGACTTGAAGCCTGAGACTTATCATTTGTTTTGAGGTCAACATGGACCCTCCTTATACCTGGGGGAAAGATGCTGAATTACCATGTGGCCTAATAACATAATTTAGTCAAAGAACTGCTTCTCTGAATATTGTTTTATCGGTTTCTGTAAAGAACAGGGATATCATAATGTATACTTTATTGTAGAGTGTGTGACCTTAGTCTCAAGGACTAGAATGCAAACTCCATGAAGTCAGGGATTTTTGTCTGCTTTGTTTTCTGTTCTATTTCCAACAGTAGAACAACACATTAGATACTCAATAAACACTTATTGAATAAAGCTTTAAATAGATGAAGCTGCTTTATTTAACTTTTACAAGCTTCTCTCCATTACATTATACCAAATCAATGGGGAGGATTATAACCACAAATATGATTTTTTTCTAAAAAAGTAGTCTCTAAGTATTTAGTTTTATAATATGGTTTGACTCCTTTTAAAGGTTTACTTTTCTGTAAGATATATTATTGTTCTTTCTCTAATATCAAAATGAACATATCATTAAGGGGACTAAATGGTAATGAAAAAAATATAATAAAGATTAAAAGAATGAACATATTATCACCTAAACAAATTGCATGTGATGCCACATAAAGCATGCAACATGCTAAGTGACGCAAAATTTTGAAGAAGGTTATCTAGTTTAGGGCACAGATCTACTTAGATTGTTAAAAAAAATTTTATAAAAAGGAAAGAGATACAAATTACTTTTAACCTGAAGCCAAAAACTCAGCTCAGAACAAGGCATTTCTTAGGGGGAAAAAATACTAACCTAGAAGGAAGATAATGGGAAATGCATTGTTTGTCTCTTCATGATCTCTGGAATTTCAGTATCAAATTACCACCCCCAGAATTCACATCCACAAGATTTCCCTGCTGCTAGAGAGCTCATTACAGCATGTCATTAGCTATTTCATATTGTGTATACAAATAAAATAAAAAGTAGAAGGGCTTGAAGGAAGTAAGAACTCTGAAGTATTTGAGGTTTATGAACACAGGAGGCACATTATCTCCCTGCAAGGTTCTGTAGTCCCCAGACCCTTCCAGGTTTAGGAAGAATTAGGGATCGGGGCGGGGTTTAGCTAGGATTACATGTCAGACCTAAGGAGGAATGACAATCAAATTATTAATAAAACTAAATTGTATGAAACCATAAACCCTAAATTCAGTGTGTTCATTAGACATGGTTTTTTTAAAAAAATATTTTATTATTTTTAGAGAGGGGAAGGGAGGGAGAAAAAGAGAGAAACATCAATGTGTGGTTGCCTCTTGCATGGCCCCCACTGGGGACCTGGCCCACAACCCAGGCATGTGCCCTTTGGTTCGCAGCCCGCGCTCAATCCACTAAGCTGTGCCAGCCAGGGCCATTAGACGTGTTTTAACCTAAATAATTTCTTTAGTATTATGTATAGTTAACAGTAATCTCTTTTATAAATTACAGATTAAAATGTGTGTTTTATAACAGTATTAAAAAATGCACAAATATATAGGGCTGAAATAAAGAAGGTAGTTCATGGTCTAAAAGCAATGGAATAAAAAATTGAGTGTGAAGGGCTTCTATTTTAGATAAACAATTTTAAAAATATTGAAAAATTAATATAAAATATAGAAAAGTACAAAGGAGAACATCCTAAATGAATTATAAAGCTATAAAAATGAATATATAGAACAGCAATTGCTTGCATGGTGCATCTACAAAACTGGAGGGTATTTGAATTAAAACACTTGTTATATTCAGAAATACTATATCAATTATGCAAAGAGATCTCTCCTGTGCTTCTCAGGGAGACCGGGTCGACATAATATAGGAATTAGCAACTACAGTCTCTGTCATTAGAGGCCATGGAGCTCTAAAAAATATGGAAAGTATCTCACAGGCCCGGAATGAGTATCTGTAACAAGGCTAACCCATTGAGGCACAGCCACATTTTGAGGTCTTTTCAAGTGAGGAGGCTCAGACTAAACGACCCTCTTCAACCCACCACCCCTCATCTCTCAGTAATTCCTCGCAATCACATTTAAGATATCAAGAATGCTGAGTTACCATATTTTTGGACCATAAGACTCACCCTAGGATTTAGAGGAGGAAAATAGGAAAAAAATTTTTGAAGTAAAAAATGTGGTAAAATATTTAATAACATAAATAACATAACATTTCACCAATGTAAATGTAAATAGAACTCAGCAGTGGCATTAACAACCATTATTTCTCCCAAATTGGCGGGGGCAGGGGACATCTTATAGTCTGAAAAATACAGTAATCACTTTCATGTAATTATGGACAACCTTGTTGATTTCATCACTTGCTATAAAATATTTAAAACAAACTTGAGATAGTCACATTCATTCAGAACATGCATCGACAACTAGGCACGTGAACTGTCTAGTGTTTTGGAGGTCTCAACTGAGTATTTTGCTTTCTTGTATGATGACAATTACTCATTTTCTTTATATATATAATCAGCTAAAGAAAATTATGTGTGTTATGTATTTTGTGGCTGTGGATTTGCAGATGTCATATATATACACATACACAAGGTCCAGCAAAAGTAATGTCTGCTTGAATATGGTTGGCAGGGTAATAATATGGGTGTAATAATTTATAATTTTAATTTGAACATTTCACCTAAATGTCATATGGTGTGCTTGAGTGTGATATTGTTATGTTACAGAAATACATGCTTATGATTTTGTAATAAAAGGACATTATTTGTGCTGAACACTGTATTTGTATATAACATACATACACACTGAATGATTTAGGGGATTTAAGTATTAATGTTCTATAATATTAGATTTTACATAAATTATGACATGACAAAACAAAAGCCAATTAACTATGTTACATTTTTAGTAAAAACTAATTTTTCTCAAATACTGTCAGTATTTTTAAGTCCTTAATTACTTTGACATGATTTTCACTAGAAATTAGTGCTGTTTATAGTCTCATGTGTCATAGGTAAGGCTGATAAAAGTACCACTTCAGCCCTGGCTGGTGTGGCTCAATGGATTGAGAACTGGCCTGTGAATCAAAGGGTCACTGGTGTCACTGGTTTGATTCCTAGTCAGGGCACATGCCTGGGTTGAGGGCCTGGGTTCGCATAAGAGGCAACCACACATTGATGTTTCTCTCCATCTCTTTCTCCTTCCCTTCCCCTCTAAAAATAAATAAATAAAATATTTTTAAAAATTACCACTTCAAAGCTTTAATGAGTGAAGAGTCTTTTATTAAGAGTTTTCTCAGAGTAATTTTAATGTTTACAACAAAATTGAAAGGAGGATAGAAATTTCTGTATACCCCTTATCCCCACACATGTATATAGCCTTGCCCATTATCAATATCACTTTCTAGAGTGGTACATTTTTACCAAGGGAAACCTACACTAACACATCCTAATCACCCACAGACCATAGTTTACCTTAGGGTTCACTCTTGGTGTACAGTCTATGGGTTTAGATAATGTGTAGAATGGACAAATTGTGTGTGTGTGTGTGTGTGTGTGTGTGTGTGCTGTCATAGAGTATTTTTACCAACCTAAACATCCTCTGTGTGCTGCATATATCTCTCTATTTGTCCCACCTACCTGCCTCATGCCCAACTCTAGCAACCAGTGATTTTTTTTTTATCCATAGTTTTGCCTTTGCTAGGATATCATAATTGGAATGATGCAGTATGTAGCTTTTCATATGGACTTCTTTCACTTAGTATTTTGCATTTAAGTTTTCTCCATGTCTTTTTCTGACTCAATAGCTCATTTGTTTTTACCGCTGAATAACATTTCATTGTCTGAATGTGCCACAGTTTGTTTATTCTTTCACCTATGAAGGAAATCTTGATTGCTTTTAAGTTTTTGCAGTTATAAATAAGGCAACATCCAGGTACACAGTTTTGAGCTGACATAAGCTATCAGCTCTCTTGGGTAAATACCAAAGAACATGATTACTGGATTGTGTGATAAGAGTATGTTTAGTTTTATAAAAAACTGCCAAACTATTTTGCACACTGTGTCATTTTGCACTCCCACCAACAACAGAGTTCCTATTGCTCCACTTCCTCCCTAAAGTTTGGTGTTGTAGGAAAAAATCATGAAAATTTGTGTAATTATTAATGTACAGTCTGATAGAATATGCTGGAACCAAATGCACTGCTTTGTAACTCACCGTCAGGACTTTCTGTGTTGAGTACCATGGTGATATTTTATGAGCATCAAATCACCTGTTTGATCTTCATCTGTTATTTCTCACAGTGTTCAGCATATAGGCCCCATTAACAGTTGTTCATTAAAAGATTAATTGGAAGGTCACTCTCATTCTCTTTTTATTTGAATCTTTAACTTAACAGGTATGTCAAGGATGCCATAATGCCATTGATCCTGAAGTGCAGCGGGTGACCTACAACAGTTTCAGCTGGCATGCATCCACAGAGTGCTTCCTGTGTTCCTGTTGCAGCAAGTGTCTCATTGGGCAGAGGTTCATGCCAGTAGAAGGCATGGTTTTCTGTTCAGTGGAGTGTAAGAAGATGATGTCTTAAGAGGAGAGCACCAGTCAGTATTGAGCCATAGCTATCCAAAGTGATCTGCATTTCTACTGTAAAATGCAATTTGGAAAAATAAATGAAACAAAAGAAACTATAAAGGATATTAGAAGATTTTGTTAAGTATCTTTCTTTGCTGTATTTCTCTTACCAGTTTTTTTCATCTCTACATTTAAAACCTTTTTTAAGCATTTGATTTTAAAATGTAAAGAATGTTATCTTTATTTAGCTTTCCATATGTAAAATCACTGAGTTGGAAGCTTGGGTTTAATTCATCTTTCTATCCCTATTTCCCTCGTGCCAAATGGTATATATGAAAAACTTGAAAGTTAATGTGATGAATGGAGAGATGAGCATTTCTACTTCTATATTCTTGTTTCCTTTTAATGTAAAGTGAAGAGGAAATGAAACTTACCCTAATGCCAAAGCTCTACATTTATTGCCTCATCATATCCAGTGAGCTTTGTAGTAATACATAGTAAATTCTTTTGACAGAGGAAATAGAAATGCAGCATAGAATAGAGAGCTATTATCATTTTATTGCCGATGCATTTGCTATTTCCTAATTTAAGCAGAGGTGGCTTTATTGCATTTCTCTTTTAAAAAAAATTCCTACCTCTCAGTATTCTCTTTGTAAGCTCATGACATTCATATGTGGCCTTTAATATTTTGTCACATGTGGCATCCACACTTTTTACTTCTATAGATGTTTTTCAACTTGGACTTAAAAGCCATTCAGTTATATTATGTTTTCAATCCAAAGAACACATATATTTTGCATACCCAAGAATCAATTTGTACCAATTGCACTTACCTGTTGTGATTTGGATATATTTTTTTGCATAGTTTTCATTCTTTTCTGATGGATACTGTCCTATGATGTTTCTAAAGCCTGTTAGTGGGTATTTCAAATGTCTTCTTTACCCATATACTTCCATCTTTAAGTATTTCTAATGTTTATTTTTCCCTGTATAGTTACATAGACTATGCAGTATGAAAATTAAATGAAAGTAATGATATGTATATTATTATTCAAAATAAAGTTTCTTCCACTTTAATAATTGTACCTTTATACTTCATATCCTTTTCATTAAAGAGCAGAAAAAAAATCCTTCTGCAATTAAACGCTTGTTAGAGCAGGGGGCGCTGTCTCCAAGGATTAAAAATTACCTAAACAAAGGCTGCTTCTGACAAGACAAAACAGAAACTAGACTTTCACTATAAAAATTTTTCATCAAAATAAGTTTTAAGAAATTTTAAAATCAAGGAATTTAAATAGATAGTTTTCAAGTCACATTGGGTTTTGGGTTTTTTTGGGGTTTTTTTTTAGAAAAAAAAGTGACGTTTTAATTGAAGTTTGGGAAAACTGTCTTGAGGTGAATCTAACAAGGATTATTATACTTGAATTGCAACTCTATTTGGTTTAGTAAAATTTTTTTCATGGCAACCTATTGTGAAAAGGAAGCAAATGTGGAATAGTGGTAGATTCATTTTTCCTTGTATTAGGAAATCATGAGATTTTTTTTTCTTAGTGTGAAGTATTTCTGTTATAGTTTTACTCTGATACATACCCAGAATAATGTGATTTTAATTTTTTTTTCAGTTCCTGTTTGTTTGGCTGATAGTGCTTCTTCTTAAATTCAACTCCCAGCCCCCGGCATGACTAAGTGGGAATAAATTAAAATAATTTCCCCACATACTGACATGACAACTCTTTTTATATGTGCCTGTCCAGCCTCCAATTTCTGAGGCTGAGGTAAAATAAGACTGGTTAGGGGGATATAAAAGCCCAAGAAATTTGACCAAAGCCATAATTCACTACCAAAGATGATAACTGCATGTATATTAGGAATTTCCTAGGCAAATAAACTACTTTGTCTGGGAGATACAGAACCACTAGGTTTGATTCTTTCTTCTTTTTTTTTTTAATTTATTGGTGTTCAGTTACAGTTGTCCCTCCTTTTCCCCTATTGCTCACCCATACCCCATCCCCTACCACTCCCACAGTCAATCCCCTCCACACTGTCCATGCCCATGAGTCCTTTATTTATGTTCCTTTGCTTACCCTTTCCCCTTCTCTACCCCTATTATTTCTCTCTCCCATCCCCTCTGGTCACTGTCAGTTTGTTCTTTATTTTTAAATCTAGTTCTATTTTGCTCATGTTTGTTTTGTGGATTAGGTTCTACTTATAGGTGAGATCATATGGTATTTATTCCGATCTATTTTTAATTTGGCCTTTAATAAACTATGTGAAAGATTTCAAAGCTCCCTTTCATTTTAAATTGTTAATCAAGTAAAAAAAATTCTTCCAATACTTTGTCCTGTGAACACTTAACAAGAGAATAAGTAAATGGATTAGTTAAGTCCTTCTCTTGCAGTTAGGAAAAGATAGGGAAGTAATAAAAGTTTTTATCTAGATTCATGCATTATTTTCTTCAAACATAGATAATGAAGAATAACCTTTTGTTCTACTTATTTTCTGTTGGTCAATAAATGGAAATCTCTATCATCCAAGTCCCATTTAGTTGTATTTCCCAGAGATATAGTTTATCCTTTTATACTCAATATAACAGGCATTTAACAACCACATTTGTGCAGTTAGCAGTAGAGAGACCCTCACCGTGAAAGGAACTAGATTGGGAGGGAAAGAATACCAGAATATGAAACATGATAAAGGCACCACAGAGAGTAAGAAAAGAAATGGGTTTTTTCCTTTCAGCAGAAGCCACCACCTTGGATATTAGAAGGTATAATAATGATTTCTGATTCTTACTCTTTAATCAGCAGTAGGAACTTGAGAACAGAGTGGTTAGATGAGAGCGAGGGGAGAGAGTTCTTTCCTGAGACCCAGAAAGTTCTGAAGATTTTGACACATCATTGTTGGGGCCCGCCCTGCCTGGTCCCAGGAAGCTGTAACCTCCCCACCACCCCCCCCCAACTTAGGCTGAGTGAGAGACCTCTGAACCAGGAGCCACTAAGGAGACAAAAGTTATTTCCCTGGCATGAACGCTGCCTGTTCTGTGCCTGGCCTCCAATGCTTGATCAGTTAGCCAATGGGGAGTAAGATTTCCCATAGGGGGAATCGCCTAAGACAGGCATGATCACATGGAGGCCTCAGGGAAGAGACTTGGGACTGTGGAAAGGAAGGGGTGATTGACATTGGCCCCTGCCCCTTTGGCTTTGTCAAAGCCTGAGTCCTTGTTCTTAGTTGTGAGAATTCCAAGTCTCCTGGCTGCCTTTGTCTCCTCTGTTGACTCAGGCCTGCAGAAATAACAAGGGTGGTGCAGCCCAGACCAGAGTCGACAGACCCCTGGGGTAATCAGGCCTGGGGCACAGAATATGCAAGATCCTGTGAGACCTGCTTGCTGGAGGATGCTATTGAATTAGAATATGAAGGCACGGGCAGGAAAACAGGACTAGCCTTTTAGGTCCTGTAGTGATAAAACCCCAAACTCTGCCCAGAATCCCAGCAGGAGTTCTGTCAGCACCTTTGAAAATTACCTACTTGTTTGATCTTCCCTGCCAAACTGGAATCCACAAACTGTGTCTGTATTCTTAATAAAAGCACTACTCAGGCAGGGATCGGGGTGCTCTGCACTAGAGAAAGTGGCCGTTTCGTTCCTATTTCCCCACAGGACTCGGTTGTCCCTGTGTATGTTTTTCTCATGTTTCGACGAGCCATCCGCAGCGTTCCGCAGTCACTGCAGGCTGGTGGCCGAGTCACATCATGAGTTGCTGAAGTATATTGAGGTAATACATTTACCATCTTTTGGTACAGACAATATTAAAGTGATTAATCATGAACAAACTCACAGAATGTACACATACCCTATTCATCCCTAAGCAAAGAAATTTGCTTGGAACCCATGGATACAGTTATAGTTTTGAGAAATCAGTGGATTGGAGTTATTTAATCCCATTAAGAAATACCAGTTGCTCAAGAGATCACTGGCTTTCATATTTCTTGTATGGTATCTTTATTTCTCTATTTATCTATTTTATTTTTTTATTTAGAAAATGAATAGCTAAGAATTGTTTTTTTCTTTAACCAACTAGCTGAAACTTCTATGACTCTGAAGTCTTCATGCATAAATTTCCAAAGTATTTCAGCCCAATTTTACCAAAAGCAAAAGATTTATTATTGACTCATTCTTAAGGAATTTCTAGCATTCAATGTTTGAGCTCATCCAACATCACCATGGTTACCAAAAAGACACCACCACCCAACATCAGTCATAAGCCTTTGCCTTAAAATGCCCTGGCATATCTGAACTTGTCTGAGTGTTCACTTACTTCATCAGAAAATTAATGACACCAGTAATGTCTCCATAAAAGAGTACTTTACTACAAATTCTTGCTAGATTCTCTCTGCTCCCCTGACCTCCCATGATTTAAGTGTTCAATGAGAACTTCAATGATTATAATGAATGCTCACATATATAAAAAGAATTCATTGTGGTGGGATAAATGGGTGAATTTTGAGTATACAACCTGGAACACATTCTTGCTTAACTAATGGAATCTTTTTTTTCCTATATTTACTAAAGCCTAAACAGCTTTAGCTGATTATTTTGTCTCTTCATGGAAAACAGCATGCCATTGTAGCTTCTATTTAATGGCAATGCATTTTAAAACACTTAAAACAAGGTATCATTAACCTTTTATACTTGTTTTGAATGTCATTTTATGCTGACATTTATGAAAGCTGCTATTGGTTTTTCCTCAATGATAATTTTCCCTGGGATATCTTGACCCTCAGACAATAACAACAAAAACTTATACCCAGTTATCTTTACTAGAGTCTGCCATTATTAAATGCAGAGACATTTGAGTTGATGTCACCAGAATACTGATTGTGAAGGCATTACAGTATAGTTCAACAAAGGTCAAGAGACCTGGCCAAGTCCCATTGATTCTGCCTCTCTTCATCAGAGTTACAGCTGAGTAGGATGGAGGATAATGTTGTTAGATTTCAAGAGTCTAGGAATAACAGGCCCA